ATGCATTATTTAAAGAAGACATTTTATTAATTCATTCATCAGAGTATTACTAAATAATCGAATAAAATGCCCTACAGGCTTACATCTTTCCAAGCCAACACTTGGATACAAAAATACGAGTTCTAACTCAATACAAGAAAAGCCCTAGGCTTGAGTGTTTACATGTAGAAAAGCTCGCTCGAGCCAAGAATGCAAAGCTTCAGGTCCAACCCAGACGCAAACTCTCGCTCGAGCTACCAAACCCCGGCTCGAGCGAATAACCAAAACAACATCTCGCTCAAGCGACAAACTCCTCGCTCGAGCGAATAACCAAAATTCTGGACAACAACGCTTGGTTTCTAAACCCAACCAACCTGAACAAACCTGCCCAACACATCCTATAATTCCAAATGAGAAAATAAGGAACAACAACAACAACAATTATACAATGACAGAATCTACGGAACAGACCGGATACAATAATCAAATGGGAAAAGACCGGGGTCGCTATATTTGAGCTTGCTTTGAGCTCTTGAGGGTGTGTAAGTGTTGGTTTGTCACTTAGAAAGGATTCTTCTCTTCAAGAGAACAGAGCAGAGGCTGATGTGAAAGATGTTCTAATTATGCAACAGAGGCATTTTGGCAGCAGAACAGTGGGCCTTTCGGGTGGAAATCCGTGCATGCATAAGCATTTCCCTTTCTTATCGAGGCCCGTTTGCTTGTGGACTTGTAATAACTAGCTAGCTAGTTCATTTGGTGTTGTAAATTAATTCACTTTGTGTTGTAATTATTAATTAGTTAGAATAACTAGTTAACTTGTGTTGTAATTAATTAATTAGAGTAGCTAGTTAATTTGTTGTAATTAATTAATTAGTTAGATTCATTAATTTTGTGTTGTAATTCTTTAATTAGCTAGAATAGTTGGTTATATTTGTTGTTGTAATAGTTAGCTAATTCGTAGTAATTAGTTTAGCTAGTTAGTTTATTCGAACCCTCCTACACGAGGGCACAGTTGTAATAATGTGTATGTCTTCTAACTCTATGTCTTTCTCCCTTTTATTTACCTGCTTATTATGGTTAGTTTAGGACATCATGTTTTGTTTAGCATCTCTCATGCCTTGCATCCATTGTCTTGCATACATTAAGTTCGTCGCATCATTCTAACTTGCATTGTTAGTTAATACACTTAGACCGCATGCAATCAAATTGATTCATATGCCATATTAGTAGCCGAGCCTAGTAAATTGCATATCGCATGCGTTGCATTAGTCACATTGCATAGTTAGGGTCATGCATTTTTTTTTAAGCTCTGTCATCTTTTTTGGCTTGGAGTACTAGATGAGCTTTTATTTGTTTTAGCATATCGCATAAGTGTGGCTGTTACCATATCAAAGCATGTTCACCATGAGGCTAAGTACTTAAATGATAAATTGTTTGAATGCCTATAGATGAAGGCTAGTTGCTTAAATTGGGATAGTTTGATTAATGTACATTTGAGCCCACTTTTTCAAGTGGCACATTCACAAACTCTTTTAAAAAACAAACATGAAATCAAATGTTCCAATTTTGGCAAAATAGTCTATACTTGTATGCGCATCACATAATAAGTTAGCCTAATAAATCAGAACAAAAGCATATAATGTAAATAAGAATCACATCATGATTAGTAGATGCCGATCTTTGATCGAGCGAGTGGGGTGCTCAATTCATGACCTTCCCCTCTCGTACCTAAGTTCCCGAGCTGAGACAATCTTGATGATGACGGACACGTGGCCTTTGGCACGAGTCATGGGTTTCCTAAATTTTCTAAAAATATTTAGGTAGTGACTTTGTATCTGGCAAAGCAATCCATATTTGGCATTTTGATTCAAAATTTATTTTTCAAAAGATTTGTCGGATTTGGACTCTTTGGTGTTTATCTATTTCACATTTAGATTCAAAACTGTAGGAGTCTGAACTGTAGGGCTAGTCATATCCGAAAGAAGCATGAAAAGTCGAGCTACATTTGGCAACAAAAGTCAACAATCCCAAGTCCTGAGACAACGTTCCGCAATAACAATTCATGAATTGTGGTCTCAAAGCATACCACAAATTCAACTTTCATAGGAGATAGTTATTATAGTTCATTTCACACTTTTCATGTTATTTCTTCTTCACATAATAAGAACAAATAATCAAAAGTGAACTTTCTACTATCAATGCATCTTTCAAAGTCTGAATCTAAGTAACCAATCAATTCAAGATTATCAAACTTCATAAATGTGAGCAAGTAATCTTTTATTCCTTATGATAACCTTATCATTTCCTTATTTGAGCATTAAGCTTCTTACAATAAATGAATAAAGAATCGCTTCCATTCCAATTGATTTTATAAATTTTTTTGCATAAGACTGGATTTATTTCCTTTCGAAACATGGATAACTTTATGTGAATATTCTTTCATTTTGAATCTCTATAGAACTTTTAATATATATCTTCTGAGACAATCTCAACAATTCATGTGATTCATTTAGAAATATTTCAATTTTTATCACATAAGTTGTCTTACTAATATATTTTTATTTCAAAGTTCTTAAAGAGAAATTTCTTAATTCATACAATAAATCACATACATTATTGACAAGCAAAATATCATCAACATAAAAAATCATAAACATAAACTTGCTTCCACTGATCTTTGGATATGTATACTAATCAAAAATATTTTCTTTAAATCCAAAACAAAAATAGCATCATAAAACTTAAGATACAATTTTTAGAAAACTTGTTTAAGTCCACCAATTGATTTCTTAAGTTTGCAAGTTACATTTTCATTTTCCTCAATAAAGAAACCTTTGAGTTGATCTACACAAAATTCTTCATCTAAACTCTCTTTCAGAAAATTAATTTTCGCATACATTTAATGTAACTCAATAACATAATGATTCTAAATCAGCCCTTTAAGACACAAGTGAAAAATGAATATCTCATTGTAATCAATGTCTATTTTCTGAGTAAAATCTTTAGCCATGTATCTAGCATTGTATCATTTTATATTGCCCTCGGAATAATAAATATTTTTGTATCCTTAAGCAATTCAATAAATTTCCAAATTTCATTATGGTCCACTGATTTCAACTCATCATTCATGACATATGTTCATTTGGTAGAATCAATACTTTTTATGGCTTGTGACAATAAAATCGAGTCTTTACTTATCCCAATATTATAATAAGATTGTTATAGATATACCACATAATCATTTGAAATAACAAATCTCTTTTCCTTATGAGATCTTCTTAATATTATTTCTTGTGGTTCTTTTACTACTTTTCATTGGTAATAATTACATTATGGAGTAATTTTTTTTATATTCAAGAAATGGATATGCATATAGGCTACTCTAACATATCCGCCAAGGGTTATTGCCCATTAGCACCTACAACATATCTGCAGGGAACCCCACCGCACCTACGTCGGGGCCGAAGCTTAGGCCTCTCACGTGCTCCAGGCACTAAAGGGTATGTTTAATCCCAACAAGGGGCTATGAAGGCTCAAACCCAAACCTTGAGCGAGGGATTCGAAGGTTTTATCCACTGAACCAACCCCTTGTTGGTACATTAAGGAGTAATTGATTATTCACTTGTTGTTCTAAGACATTAAGTTATTTAACAATTATAGGAACGACAATTTCCTTCAAATTATGGGTAATGATACTTGTACCCAAACTTATTGAATAATCATTTTTGATGATTTATCACTCCCACTGATTTCACCATTCTTATTAAATTTGATATTATCGATTTTGGCAATTCTTGTACTATGGCCAAGATAATAAAACTAATACCCTTTGAATTTTCAAGATAATTAACAAAATAACCACTGATTATTCTAAAATCTAGTTTCTTTTCATGTGGATCAACAATTCTAATTTTGTAAACAACCCCAAATATGCAGGTGTCTTAAGTTCGGTTTCCTTCACATTCACAGTTCAAAATGAGTGTTTGGAACTGCCGTACTAGGAACCCGATTCTATATGAAAATAACAATGTTAAGGGGTATTTACAAATTACTTAACATACTCTTAACCATATTCATTGAAGTACAATAATACTTCTCAGCTACATCATTCTGCTGAAGCATTCACAAATATTATACCTTACATAGAGTTTAGCAAATAGACTTGTGCTTTGCCATTGGTCGAAGCTTCAATGGCACTACATAATTTTATGCGCCGCTACTCCAACGATGATGAAACCTTCAACAGGGTTGCCAATGCAGAGACTTTTATTTTCAATGACATGCTAAATACTGCAGGTGTTGGTGATGACGATGATGATGAACTGGAGGGCAATAATGACGTACATATGAACGAAGTTAGAAAATCCATTCAGAATGAGTTGGTGCGACATCGACGTGACCTCGGGCTGTAATCTTGTTTGGACGCACCTATTGATGGGAAATTATATGAATGTGTTGCACAGTTGAACTAATTATAATACTGTTTGTTTGTCTTTGTAAGACAAAGGTCGCCAAATTTGTTTAACAGAAAAATAAATAAATAAATAAATAAAACTGAAGCGCAATTTCTTCAGAAAAACACCAACTTTTACATTGTTGGTAACATTGAATAATTTTAATATTACATTCCCAAAAAATTGTTCAAATAACCACATGGGTAAAAAAGTAAATTTCCCAAGTTGGGTGGGGTATTTTGGTCATTTTAGTGTGATGTGACACCATAAACAAATATTAACTCAAAAAGCAAAAAGCAGCTTTAAACCAACTTCCCAAATCACTTTCCAAAAAGCCAAAAGTTAGCTTTTTACCATTTACCCAAAGCACCCCTATGTGGCCATCTGGGAGCGAAGTAAAAAGCTGCGTTTTGCAGCTTCATAAAAATCCTAATAGCAGCAAAAAATGCAAACAACAACCGTTTGGGAAGTGATAAAAATGTAGGTTGTGAAATTACTTAACTACCCTCCATGTTTACATTTTGAGAGTTAGGGCAAAACACTTAGCTCATTTCCTCCTTCTTGCTGCTGCTCTCACTTCCTTCTCTCATGGTCTTGTGGAACTCCGTCCAACAATCCACGATGAAACCGTCGACCGCTGACGCTACCTCCGGAGTCCTCGTCCACGTCCTCGTCGTCGCTGGATCGACAGTATGAGGTAAGCAAGGAACCCTCCTCCCTTGTTATCTGGTTACAGTTATTTCGAAAACCAGTTTCATGGAAAAATGGATTAAAATTGTAACGCCCTCAAAATATTAACAATAAACCCATCAGATAAAACATGCATTTACATATAAATTAACCACACTCTTATATTCATTAGAGTTCCGTTAAATAAATATTACATGTTAACCTCATAACAAAATTGTATAACACTTGTATGCTATAATACTTGACGATATTGGCGTCCACTTGTGAGATCCTGCCCTCTTTCATGTTGTATTTTCAACTTTAGTCTTTGGTGTTCTGTGAACACAGAACAACAAATCCATCTCTTTACTGCTATTTCCTTCTTCCGCTGCTGCTATTGGGGGCTATCTATCATTTACTACAGGAAAAAAAAATATTTCCAAAAACAGAGGATGGCTGCTTGTGTTATAAAAATGTACACTGGTTTAAAAAGCTTGATTGTAAAAGGTTATCCCTACACCCCATATAAGGTTATTGTTTCTTTACTAAAATTTTTTCATGATTAATCTAGTTGTTACAGGGATTTTCTGGACTGTTTCATAGCCATGGAGGTACTTATATTTATGTATGTCAGCTCTTTTTCTATTATTGAGCATAACAAATTTAGAGAAACTCAACCATTTTCAATGCTATATTGACATCCCATTTAATTTTTAACATCTGCTTCTCACAAGCAGCATAAATAGATCTTTATTTACTTTCCAGAGTGATAAATGATACCTTATGCGTAATGGGTGTTACTGTTATTATTATTATTTTTGTTTGGTTTTCCTTTGTTTTTATGAAAGATTGAAAGTACATATATAAGAGTGTTTAAATATGTGCTTGTACAATGATTTGTGTTTAGGGTTTTATTATGAGTTCCTTGACAAGGAGGAGAGTCCTATCTTTTGTGTTTAATTTTGCTTTGGCACGGTATTAATATTGGATTGTTACTTATTTTTATTTTTCTTTTCTTTTTGTTTTTATGTTAAACTTGCTTTTTAGTTTAATTTCACAATGCAATATTTATTGGTGATGCTCTTCCCCACTAACCAAAACCTTTCTTTTCTTATTCCATAAATTAAAGTAAAAAGGAGAATATGTGAAGAAGGTTGAGATTAGATTAAATTTGTGTCATCGTCTTTCTATTGTTAAAATTAATCATAACTAAGATGAAAAGTTCTCCAAATTTTGTTTCTCTCTTGTCTAAGGAAATTGTTTCTGATCTTCGGTCAAGTCCGTAGCCTCCAAAAGCAAATTCGTAAAGTGTATACCACTTAATGGAAACAAAATTTCTTGGCAAATGTAAGCCAACTCTTTCATCCTCGCAAAGCATTTATTCTCTTGTAGTCTATAGACTTCCAGAGCCTGCTGCAATTCCGGATTGAGAATCTGCAAGAAATAGAAGGCTCAAATAATTTGGCCATCCATACTAACCCTCTTAGTTACTGTTAATAGATCTTGCACATATTTTCCATTTCAGTCAAAAAAGGCAAATGGAAATTTATCTGACCAATTTCAAATAGTATTGTTAGTAACTTATGAATCACGATACGTATCTTACGATTCAATATATGTATTGGTAAATTGGTACTGTTCTCAATACATATCTTCTGTATAATGTATTTTGCGATACATATATGATAATAACTAAAGGAATTTATGTTACTTCTCCAATTCTTCATGATATCTTATCATAAAGAGATTTATGCTTTTCAGAGTTTAAAAAAATAGGATATTGCATTTCCAAGGGGTATGAAAAGACCACAGCAATAGATTTCTAGATTTAGCAAAATTAATAAACATTACAGTTAAGAGGACTATCTGTCAAATAATTACTTGTCAACGGTTTGTTCTGATTCCTTAAAAACAAGATCATGAACCAAAGATTTTCCAATAACTTCCACAACCGATAATCCTGTCAACTCTGCAACCGTAGGATTCTAACCATTTATGTGGCCATCAATGTCCACAGCAAATATGGGAGTTGTAGTCTCTACCAACAAAGCTACTCTCCTCCATCCTTTGCAACTCTAAATCCCCAAGTGGGGCATATACAACAGTCTTAGAATATTGAACCCAAGTTTAAGAACAATACACAGCTTTTCTTAGATCCAAATGGGTCTAAAAACTACTATCTACTTGAAGTTTTTCAGCAATGTTTACAGATAGATAAATTGGGACTACATTAGAAACCAAGAAACAGAACTACACATAGAACAGTTGTGTATCTGGTAGTCAAGATGATGGGAAAAAAAATATTACATCTAAAACTAAAAGAGCTAATTTGAAAACAATAGGAAATCCAAAAGAAAATGGCTTCTTTTTTTCTTTGTATTGTTATTTTTTTTAGTTAGGCTCTTTTTTTTTCTTTTTTTCTTTTTTTGTACCTGAGACAGCACAATCAAATTGTTGGTATAACTTATAAAACCCAAGAAACACAAGGAATACAACTAACGAACGTGAATGTCAAAAATACAATAAAATAAGCAAAGCAATGACAAACCACCCACAACTCTACCGTAGATTTTGTTTTGCAGCTTAAAACAAATTGATAACTCTTCAACAAAAAAAAAAAAGATTATAGAGATGGCGTCATCCATGTCAACTGCCACTTCGTTATGGCCACGAAGGATGTGTGCATGTAGCTTTGGACATTGTGTTGTCAAGATTTCCAGATCTACCAAAAACCTAGGTCGTGCGTACTACGTTTGCCCTAGGCCTACGGTCTCTTTGTGTTGCCCCTCTCTTATGCAGTTAGTCATGTAGTTGTTCATTTGTTGTTATGTCGCATGTCATGCAGTCTAACTATCTATTTCACTTTTGTACGACAGCGATGTGTTCTGTGGATTAGTTGGTGTGATGAGTTTCGCAGCGAAAGATTTGCTACTGACCACCCATCAAATGTTGTCGATATGAGGTTACGTGCGACGTTGTTTGCATAGATCAGAGCGTACGTATGTTTAGGACTGTCGTCGATGTTTTGTGTGTTGTCGTTTTTGTGTTGTTGTTTCGTATGTGATGCATTGTCATTTTCGTTGTTACATGTACATTTGGTTTTGTATCACCTACCACTGTTATATGTCATTGTTGTCAATAATGCATAGGGTATTGCATCACATAATATTTATGCAAATTGCTAGATGAATTGTCTTTGTCTTTTTGTCGTTTTGTACTATTATCTACACCATCATTAATTGTCTATGGACAATGTTTTCAACTATGGACATGAAAAACATTTACTCAAACTTTATTAAAGTGCTACATCATTAACTTTACATATTTGTTGGATTTCATTTCTCATCAGTCTAGCTACACCAATACTACTAATCTTGGTAACAAACGGTTCGTCACCACGTATCCCATCTTGAAATCGAGGTAAGGCTATTACATCAACCCAACAACAACTAGTCCACAAATGCCAGTTCGACAGTGACAACACAAAGCTGTATCTACAACTCATCATCGCTGAAATGGACGTGGGTAATCGACAACTGTGTAGATTGTCAATAACTGGGTACAAGAACGTTGCTAAGAAGTTTTTGGACAAAACTGGCCTGCTACATTCGGCTAAACAAATGAAAAACAAATATGACAACTTGAAAAAAAGATTGGATTGCATAGAAGAAGCTAGAGGATGCCAGCCAAGGCTTAATAGGGCTTAGTGTAGACGTCCCCGAACGCCCCGGGAGGGACGAGTCCCCGTCCCCCCGTTCTGTTCGTTTTGGGTTCACTACAGTTCAGGACTCTCAAATTTTCACGATTCTAAATATGAACCAAAGAGTCCAAATCCGGCAAATCATTTTGAGAAAACAGATTTTTGAAAGAAGTGCCAAACATGGACTGCTTTGCCAGATACAGAGTCGCCACCTAAATGTTTTATTTTGGGAAACTTTAGGAAACCCTGACTCGTTTTCCTAAGGCCACGTGTCCGTCATCACCAAAGTTGCCTCGGCTCGGGAACTTGGGTACGATTGGGGAAGGTCACTTCGTGAGCACCCCCGCTCGCCCGATCAAAGATCGGCCTCTACTAACCGTTATATCTATTTTTGAAAACATTATGCGTTCTTATTCCGGTTATTAGCCTAGATTTACTATGTGATGCGCACAACATACAAGTATAGACTGGATCGCCTGAATTGGAACAAAACGTTTCATGTTTGTTTGTTTTGAAAATGGTTTGATGGTGCTACCCGCAAGTAGGCTAAGACGTGGATTTGCCACCCTCAGGTGGGCTTAGAAAACATGATTTTGCCACTATCTAGTGGGCTTAAAACACACATTTGATGAATTGTTCCAATTCAAATAACCCAACCTTCACCCACAGGCATGCAGGCAGTTATATCACATAAGCAAATAACCTCATGGTAAGCATGCTATTCATGGCAGTAACTCACACGCATGCAAGGATGCTAAAGCATAAAACTTACCGAGTACTCGAAAGAGACTATATTGATGAAAAAACTAGAACAAGGAACAAAGAACAAATTTACACCAAAAAAGAAAGAGGAGGAGTGCAGGAGCATCACAATGAGCTAAGTCATTCCAACGAGGTTGGCACCAAATAGCCCATCCTAACATTAGCAAGCACCTCCAAGTTGGTGAGGAACCAACAAAAGGAACAGACCAAACACCAAAACA